GTCCATTTCCAAGGTGTCAGCTCCCACATGTCTGCAATGTGACTCACAGTTAACAGGACAACAAGTGGAAGGCATTTACAGTAAAAAGCTCGATCTTTCTTTTTTGGGGGCTGGGCTTCCACCCAACCTGGTTCTGCTGAGCTCAGAGGCTATGCCAGTTTGGGAAAAATAAAGTAAACTAAATTTGAGCTGTGCTCTCAAAGCCTGAATTGCTGGAGCAGCATGTCTTCTGCTGGCTTAGATGACGACAAAGCATGGTTTACTGTTACTTACGTGGTAAGAAAGAAATTAGCAAGTTTCTCTCTCTTTTCAAGGCTTAAATTAACCTTAAGCTTCCCCAGGAACACTGGATTAAGTTTTCTTTGATGCAGGAAGCACTTGTTAAGAGAAGCAGAAACATCTTCCCTGCTCACAGATGTCAGCCAATACCAAAGAGCCAGTTTGGGTAAATACCTTTACATTCTCAGACCTTCCTTTCTGAGGAAATAACATGTTCAACAGTCAGAAAATTGCTGCGTCTTTAAAGTGTGACCCGAGCCAGCAGAAGCAGAGCTCAGAAGCAGTGCTGGCGCATCTGTGCTGTAAGTCCTCAGAGGACACCTGGACGCCTGTAGAAATCGAAAGCTTAATTCTGTTTGCCCTGTGATATTCTTCTGCCTCTCAATTTTCAGAACTGTGATTTTTGTCTTGGAACCCTTCTCACTCAGGGTACCCAAGAGACCTAAGCAGGGGAAATAACAGAATGAGAGTCTAAATCCTGTACAGCAAGGTCCAGCTAATATAAGAGAATATTATACCTTTGAAAGCAGCCAATTCCATTTGCTTTTCTGGAAGGCACAAATCATGCATGATAGACTCAATTTTGCAGTTCTTTTCCAAAGGGGAAAAACACTTATGGAAGCAGGTGGCTTGAGAAATGATCAGTAGTCTACAGAATCCAGCATCCCTCCCTAGGTAACAAGTAACTGGAAAAAATTAGGGTGATGACATTCATAGTAAAGACATTATCAAAAGAATTAATCCTGAGGAACTTGATAGAAATAGTACTATGCCATGGGCTACAATGACTAGAACAGCAATGTTGATTACTTTCAGAAATTCTATAAATTCTGCAAGCCCTCTGTCCTGTGATCCTCCCAGGAGTCCTTTCTCTCAGTGGTCACTCTTGGTCATTGCCCATCCTCATTTTCCACCAAGGAACACATCTGGGGTCCCTAGGAAAACAAAGCCCTACTTCCACACTGGCAGAACATCTTGCTGGTCTTGGTGTCCAGATTACCGGAGGTGAGGGGAGATAAACAGGCCTGGAGCCCTATGGCTGCATCAGTATCCAAGACACCTAGCATAACTTAAACAAGGACTTCTTGCTTTTCTAAATTCTATCAGAGACAATATATAATCTTCTAATCACTCCAGGACAGCTATGAGGAGACACATGATTCCTCACGCTCTCCCACCCTCAACAGCCAGTCAACCAAAAGCATGCTAGTGTCTTCCTTTTGAATGGCTATCGTACCTGCCTTTGCTTCCTGGCCACTGTTGAGCTGTTCCAGGTCCTCATCCCCCTCGGCTTCACAGTGACCTTGCCTGCAGAGATTCCCAGTCTCCCTGATCCTTGCTGCATGAATACGTATCTCCCCCACCCGAACCACCCATCTTACCTGCTATCTACCTTCTTCCAATTCAACTCATACACGGTTTCTCGAATAATCTTCATAAAGCGCCCTGAACACATCATGCTCCTGCTCCAAACCCTGCAGTGAGTCTCTGATACCCTCAGTACCAGTTACCAAAATGTGGTCTACAGAACGCAGAGTCTGGTGTTTGCTCAGCAGGAAAAGGGGTTTGTGGGAAATCTACTTGCACTCTACCACTTGGAGAATCAATCTTTGGAACCACTAGTTCCCAAACTTTCTTGACCATAAAAGTATTATTTTTTTTTTCCAAGGGACACACATTACCATCAGTGTTTACAGCAACACACAGAGGGCGACAATAGTCTGTAGGCTGAAGTACTACACACTAGCATGGCAACTCTGATGTCCTCTGCTCTCTTTCTTGGCTTCATTTCTTATTTTTCCCTTAACCTCTGACCTAGAAAAACTGGGAAGTTTTACATTTTAAGTAACAATCTACTCACTGTTACTTAATATGCTCTGAATCTAATAGTTTCTCTTTCTTTTGTTTTCATAATTTCCCCAGCTGTTAAGTCTCTTTCCCTTCCACTTAATTAAATCTTACTCTTCATTCGAATTTCAGTACAGATGTCTCTTCCATAGAGCTTTTCCCACCCTTTCATCATCAAGTACTGAACACTTGTTTCCCTGTATCAGAGGGCCAAAATCTCAGCTGGGGAAACCACCTACTGCTCACATTTCAGTTAAAAAGCATGGGAAATGGCAGAATTTTCCCCTCAAATACCTTCAAAAACAATTTACAAGGTAAGATTATATGATACTCACATAAAAGAACTGTACTTGTATGAAGTATAGGATCTTTAAGTAGGAAAAAAAAGATTTTTAACATCAATAACTAATTCACAATAGCTGACACTGAGTTCTACTGTTTTGACCAGAATAGCTTTAGGAAGATACTAGGAAAGTTTCCTGCCTTCGTTTTCATCTTATAAGAACTGAGCCAGCTAATGAATACTATTTTGACAAGAAAAACAGAATGGCATACAGCAAAGACAAAATCCTTCAAGATCCCAGAACGACTACTTCTATTCTAAGGACGCACAGACTTCTTAGTGGATAACTGTTACCCTCTTTCTGTTTCTGGCATTTTTTTTTTCCACACAATATAAACAAAATTAGTCAATTTAATTAAAAAGAACCATTTGGTGGCATAGTGCCTAAGGCATTTGACTGCTAACCAGAAGGCTGGTGGTTCAAACCTACCAGCCACTCCTCAGAAGGAAGACTAGGCAATCTATTTCCAATGAGATACTGCCTTGGAAACCCAAGGACGGGTTGCTATGAGTCGGATCCATCTCAATGGCAATGAACTTGATTTGGTTTGGTTTGGTTGGAATGGTTGAAAAGATGCCTTGTGATGAGAATATCCAATTCGGTTTCAATCTGGACTCCAAAAGCAATCATAGTAAATGCCTTTGTTTCAACACACATATATTTCCGTCATGAAGCCCTGGAAACAAAGTAAGTTATGGAAGAAAACATAAGGAGAAGCAAATCTGAGGGAACCCTCGTCTTTCTATTTCTGTTTTACATGCTCGGGACTCCTTCGTGGGCTTCTACTTCCTCCTGACCACCATGTCTGTGATCCCAGAGCCATCCACTTCCAGAAGACAATGAGGAATAGACACAGCAGCCAACAACCTGGATTTCCAGAGCCGTCTGGGAAGAATCTTGGACTGCCTATACTGCAGAACTTGCCGGTACATCTGATTGGTCTTCTCTGGCTCAGCCAGGCTCAGCCACTTGTCTGTGTGGATCCATAATGATTTCCTGCCCTTTTCAGCATCTTTGGAACTGATTTAGTTTCACTCTTAGAACCTGTCCTATCTTTCCAACATTGTACGTTCACCTTGTATTTAAACACTTGCTGGTCTAACCCATCATATCTGAAGATCACTTTGCCTGTCAGTCTTCTGACAAAGAGTTGGTCTCAACCACCTTGAGCCCTTTACTTAAAGTAAACTGGCCTATTCATAAAACCTAGGATGAGCCATGGCATTGACATCCTCCATTTTGTTCTCCAAAAGTCCCTGCAAGGCCCAGTTCCAGCTCTCTTCTCATGAAGTCTTCTCTAATGTTTTGTCTGTGACAATCAACCAGCCTCTACACTACTGTGTTTACTGTCTTCCCCAGCATTTCACACAGTGGAACCCATAAAACATTAGTCACAGAGGATGTTCACAGATAAAAGGATTCCATGACAAGTAAGTCTGGGGACAGCTCCCTGTTGTGAGATTTACAATGCATATTAGCAAAGAGTTTTATAAATCTTACAGTAAAAAAAGCTCTCAAACAATATTTAACCTAATGTTTCTCAAACTCATTTAGCCATAGAACTCCTTTTCCATGCTACATTGTTTAATAACAATTTGGAAGTGCACATGTAAGGAAAATGGGTCTATACAATTCTGTGCTATTCCCAAAAAGTGACCTAGTATTTGAATGTGTCCTGTGTCCTTTTCTTCTCTCCAAGTGGTTTGACAGTTAACAAGCCAGCAGCTCTATCTAGTGACGGACCTTCTGAACTCCCATCTGTTTTCATCCTCACATACTCTATGCCTGCTAAGTATGAGGTAATGCATACAGCTCCTGCCACAATGCCTGGCAAGTAGGAAACATACAAGATAGTAGCTATTTTTATTTTGAGTAGGGGAGAGTGGGTAAGAGTTGGGCCTGTGGAATCAGACAGACCCTTTCCGAAGTCTGGCTCAGCTCTCACTAGCTAGCCTGAGAGGGCAAGGGCCATGCCTGTTTTGTTCACCAATGTCACAGTATTTGGTATAGACCATGCAGTCAACAGGTATTCACTGAGTGAATTAAGGACTGAGCAGTTCGCAATCAAGGTGATTTTGCTTACCAGGGATTATCTGGCAACGTCTGGAGACATTTTTGGTTGTCACAACTAGATCCTAGTGGGTAGAAGTCAAGAGTGCTACTGAAGGTCCTGCAATGTACAGGTCAGTCCCTCAACAAAGAATCATTCAGCCCCAAATGTCATTTGTGCTGAAAGTGAGAAACTCTGCTCCAGAGGGATCAATGTCTCACTCCTGACCTTGAGCAAGTTATCAAATTTCTCACTGGACACAGTGACTGGCACAGAGAAAACACTCTGTAAATGTGACCTGTTGGTGCTATTACCACTAACCTTTCCTCAGCATCTTGTAACAAAGATGAGGCTCTTCAGACAGATTCTTCAGGCCTTTGGGAATCACCAGTTGAGTTCTGACTCCACGAATGGCCCCCAGAAACAAGCCCTGGACTCCCACTTCTGTCTGAAGGACCAGATTTCCTGTAAGCACTCACCAGGGGCTCAATAGTGAAGATCTTATTCAAGAAGAGCATGCTATCCTCCTGAACCAGCCTTCTCTGATTCTCAAAGGTACGGGAGAGAATGGACAGCCGTTCTCGGAGCGAAGGATCAATAATGCACTCTTCTAAAAACTCGTCCGTCTCATTCTTTTCCTCTTTGATGAGATCATTACAGACCCTACAGAAAATAGAGATGTGAGATTCATATGGGCACCTCCATGATAAACTTTGTAAAGGGGCTACCTTCCAGTTCATCCTCCTGGAAATGTCCTCACCTATCACTCTGGGACAGATGTTCCTTGCTCTGAGTCTAGCTGGGCAACGTTGTGCTTTTACTTCTCAAAGCCTGTTTTCTCATCTGGAGACACTTCCTTCCAGAAGTCCTCCCTGGCTTCCCTTTATACTCAATGCCCATTTGCTTACTCCTGGGCTGTTATGTATATCTGGACAAGTATGTTCTTTTAGATAACTGTGTTTTCTAAGCTGCTTTAAAAATATTTAAAATATTCCAAGAATCATTTCATACCTTTCACACTTGCTTAGGTTTAACTCTTTCTCAGCTGTTAGCCTTCTAGAGAATAGATTCCAGAGCCAACAAAGACTAAGTTTAGAAACTGGTTCCACTATTCAGGTACTAGCTCAGCGACTTTTGGAATTCTCCAATTTCTCTAAGCCTCAATGTCTTCACCCATAAAACAAAAATAATAGGAGCTCCTCCATCATAAAGATATTGTGAGAATTAAATGTGATCAAGGACCTAGTCCAGTTCCTGAGACCTAACAGGTGTCCAATAAATACCAGTTTTCTCCTTGTGTCAACCATAAGCAATTACCAAACTGTCAAGCTTATGAAATGCTCAAAGTGCACCTAAAGATGTCTCCTTTCTTCCCTCTCTCTAGCACTTAATATCCACTGTGACAGGTTAGAAAGCAGCTTCTCCCAGCTCTGTAACTATCATCCTTACGGAACCTGAGCTCATTATTACTCCTGCCATCAATTACTGCACCTGAACTTTGCAATCTGAACTTTATCTCCTTCTAAGACACATGACCACTCTTCCAATGTCTTACTGGTATTACCAATAGGGGCAGACAAGACTATTTCACAATGTGAATGCTGGGTAGGAGTTCAGAGTCACTGACTTCCTGTCTCAGCCCCATCTATTTCTTAAATGATTTCATGCAAACTATGTAATCGGCACTCCTAGGTAACACTTTTTTATTAACACACTGCCTAGGGTCCTTGGGTAAACTAACCAAAGTAACTGAAGAAACAGATTCAGTGTGCTCTGGTTCCAATGAAGAAAGCACTGTATGCTTCCTTTCAATTGCTAGGTAGGACGCAGTGTCCAAGGTAACCACAGCAACGGTCCCTCTACACTGCTGGGCAGAGCAGGGCACATCGAAGATAGTTCAGTCTTCCTTTATTTAAAAAAAAAGGAAAGCTTTTATTATTTTTTTTTAAAATTTTGTTATTTGATATAAATCTGGAAGATTTATCCATTGCATACTCTTTGAAACAACAGATTCCACTTCTACTGTTGTTGTTGTTGTTATGTGCCGTCGAGTCAGCCCCGACTCATAGCGACCCCTCCTTGGGTTTCCGAGGCAGTATCACTACGGAAGTAGGATTGCCCAACCTTCCTTCCGAGGAGTGGCTGGTGGGTTTGAACCTCCAGCCTTCTGGTTAGCAGTCAAGTGCCTTAGCCACTATGCTACCAGAGCTCCCACTTCTACTAATGTATTCTAAAGAAACAATCATGGATATAAACAAACACACAGCTACAGAGATGCTCATCTAAGTGCTGGCAATAATGTCAAACAAAAATGTGGTGAAGTTTGATGTAAGATAATGAGGCACTGGTTAAACAAATAATGAGAATCATAAACAAAAACGTTTATAGGGCCCTTGCCAAGCCCTCCATATGCATCATGTAAGTAAATGCTCATGACAGCTCACCATGACCATGACCATCACCACCATTTCTATTTTACAGACGGTGGAACTGAGGCCCAGGAAGGTTAAGCAACCTGTCTAAGTTCATGCAGCTAATAGAGCTTGTTGTGTGCAGTCAATCCCAAAGACATTCTGTAGGATGGAGCAGAACGACCCCATAGGGTTTCCCAATCTGCACTCTTTATGGGAGCACACTGCCAGGTCTCTTCTCTCACAGCACAGCTGGTGGATTTCAGCTGCCCACCTTTTGGTGAGCAGTCGAGTGCATAACCGTTGCACAATCAGGGTACTTCAGATGGAGTCTAACTTCAAATTAGGTTTTGTTTGCAATCTACATCCTCTGGTATCAACCAATACTCTACATTACCTCCTGGAGTGTGTCTGTGTGAACAGAATACTAAGCAGCTATCAGAAAGGTATTAGAGAAGAACGTTTAATAGTATTTTTACATGTCTTAAAGGGTGCTCTGGTGGTGTAATGCCTAAGGCATTTGACTGCTAACCAGAAAGCTGGTGGTTCAAACCCACCAGCCACTCCTCAGAAGGAAGGTTGGGCAATCTACTTCAGTAGAGATACTGCCTCAGAAACCCAAGGAGGGGTTGCTATGAGTTAGATCAGACTCCACAGCAGTGAGTTTGGTTTTTGGTTTGGTTTAAATATTTTAAAGTGAGAAGCAGGTTACAAAATAGAATGTATAGACTAATCCCAATTCTGTAGTAAAAAAGCAAAAAAAAAGAAAGGGAGAAAGGAAGAAAAGAAAATATACTTCTTGGGAAAAAGAGCAGATTTAGATATGCTGAAATCCTATGGGCAGTTTTCTCTAGGTTGTAAGACTGTAATATATTTATATCTTCATCTTTGTACTTGTTTTTATTTTCTAAATTCTATTCTTTGATGATGTATACATAAGAAATGATATATAATGTCAGTGGGTAGTCAAAATAATACATACAATTTACAAATGAAAACAAGTTATTTTTAAAATTTAGTGTTAATCAGTCCTCAGATTGAAGCAGTACAGAATTTTCCACGGTTTCCTTACCAAACGTGTCCTGTTCTCCCCAAAACATTACATCCACAGGGCAGGCATGACATGCAAACACTACTTCCCCTGCTGTCCCTCTGTATCTGTGCCTGCCCCCCCACACACACTTTATCTTGCAACACGCCTGGACCATGCTGACGGCTGGCAGGCACACGTCAGCAGGGCCATCGGGACACACTGGGCGGTGGATGAGCTGTCTCCTCTGGCCTTTTTAAAGCACTGGTATTTCAATACCGTGAGGCAGAAATATGTTTTTAGGCAGGCGAGGCTTTTCTTTGCTCACTTTTTAAAGATGGCACAGTGGCAATCTGGTGATTAAAGCTCATTGTCAGAAGGACAAGGCTTCTTGGCCCAGTGTCCTGTCATTGTCACAACTCCCTCTGTTTCAATTAGGGCAGCCCCCTGGCAGATTTCTGCCTGGCTCCCATGGACCTACAAGCTTTTATTCTATCACTTATTCATTTGGTTTCAAACATAGCTTTGAAGCTTTGCAGTGCTAATCTTTAATGAAAATGGAAAGGGGGGGGGGTGAGGCCTGAAAGAAATTCCAATGAAAGCTGCAAAAGTGATAATTCAAGGAGGTTGGAAGGAGATAAAAATAAAATTGGAAGCAAGGATGGATTCAGTGAGAAGAAATATTCCAAATGTAACAGTGATGAGATTAGTTAACACATATTGGTTTTACATTTTATTAATTTTCTCCACTGCCTGAAGTAGCGCTTCAAAAAAGCAGGAGATGAAAGATACCAATAAGAACTCGTTATTAAATTATGTGATGTGCAGGGAGGAAGCAATGCTACCAAAAGTGAGGATATAAAAGCCATTATAGCCAAGCCTTTCTTTTTCCTCAGTCTTCATATTTTCTGGAAGTATCTCTATACTGAAAAAAAAAAAAAAAAAGAAAACAAACCTTCACCCTGGTTCTAATCCAAAAGAGGTTATTAAAAAAAAAAAAAACTGTTTTTAAAACCTGATCAACAAGGTTAAGATTATGAAAGGAAATGCAGACATGTGGATCAGTTTTGGGAGAATAATGAAGTGTGAACATATCGGGTCTTTAAGGCTAGGAGTTCAGCGGCTGATAAGTTAACAAGGTTAAGGTGAGGGGAAGGCGGTTCCACACAGCTCAGCTCGGGGACTCTAGAGGAACCGCTCCAAGTGGGCATCGGGCTCCGGAATCAAAGGAAAGTGTGGCATTGTTTCAGTTGCTCAGAGATGGACCACCAAAGCCCCTGGTGTTTGGTAATAACTGATCTTTCCATCCTCAACACCACAGTGTGTAGGTGAGTCTTCTTCCCACCTGTTCTTTTCTCTGTCCTCGTCGGCCTGGTTGGCAAACAGCTTCCACTGGAAGTGAGCGATGATGCCACTGCGGTTGTGAATCGTTACAGTTCGCTGGCTGGCCAAAGATATGTAGGTTTTCTCGATGATCAAAGAATTCTTGTCCAGCCTTATATTCACGTCAATGGCAGCCCCGTACAGAGACACAAACACTTTTTCACCTGGGAATTAACAAAGCACACATTTTAAGATTTATTCTAAAATCACGGTTCTAGGTTTTTGTCTTTTTTCCCCCCTCCCCCCTAAGCTGAAGTTAGGGAATATAATACAACCATTAGACATCACACTCTTATTCTCCCATCAATCCAGAGATCAGACAGAATCAGAAAACTTAAGTATAACGCTTAGTGCAGTTGCAGAGAATCAAACCTATTCAGTATCCAGGAAATCTCAACCAAGCACTCAACTACCAGCTGAAAGGTTGGCGCTTCGAACCCACCCCGAGGTGCTTCAGAAACAGGCCTGGAGCCCTACCTCTGAAAGGTCGCAGCCTTGAAAACCCTGGGGAGCAGTTCCTCTGCACACAGGGGTCGCAGCTACGAGTCGGAATCAACTCGGCAGCAACAACCCAAGGACAACCACAATGCCGAGGTACGTTTTTCCCTATGACCCAGCGAGTACCATTTCTAAGTACTTATCTTAAAGGAAAATCTCACGTTTGTACAAGAAGACATGTACAAATATGCTCATGGCAGCATTGTTGGTAACATCAAAAACCAGGAGCAGGCTAAGTATTCAACAGGAGACACCCTGGAATGTGATGCATGAGTTAAAATGAATTAGAGCCATGTGCATCTCCATGCTTAGATCTTATAATACTCAATACAAAAGCAAGTTGTAAAATGGTATGTATAGTATGACACCATTTATGTGAAATTTAAAACCACTTGAGAAACACTATATACCATTTATAGATAAGTAAATATGTACAAATAGTATAAAACCATACCCAATTCACCACTGAGAAGCAAGGCATGGGAAATGGATCCAGAGAGTTTAACAAGGTGGTTTCAAACCTATATCAGCATAATTACCTAAGCAATAAAGCATCTGAAGGAAAAGTGTGTGGCAAATGTTGAGATGTGTTAAACATAATGACTACTTAGTACATTAGTCTCTATATTATTTGTGGTTATTTGAAACATTTCATCACTTAAAAAATTAACCATGGACACCCATAAGCACTGTGTTCATTGAAAAAAAAAAAATCACCTATATGAGACCAAATGGTCAACCATGACTTTAAAGGAAAGATGAGGATGTAGAGACAGGGAAACTAGATTCATGGAAACAGAGCCACCAGAATGGAAACAACGAGCATGTTGAAGCCTTGCAAAAAACGTAACCAACATCACTAAACATCTTGGATAGAAACTGCGGAATGGGAACCTAAACTCTGGGGTAAAGCATTAATGAAAAAACAATAATATATTATTTGAAAAAAAAAATTAACCAAGGAAAAGAACTAAGGGCTAATATCATACAAGTGTCTCAGAGAGACTAGTGTCATCTCCATGAGGGGCTCACTGCAAAGTCTTCCTTCCCCAAAGTAAAGCAACAGAACTGCTAGAATCATCCTTGCATATCTAATATCGTTTTTCATTTCTATCTTCCAGATATCTCCAGATCCACAAAAAGAAGGAAAGACTAACTTTCCTCCTACCCTCACAGCTGCTGAAGTCACAGGCTGGTGTTTTTACACACACTGGTATATCATGAAGACCACCTTAAGAAGAGTATGGAATGATGGGAGAATCTTCACTTGCTATGTCATTTACAGCTCATTCCACTTCCCAAACAATCCCACGTATCACTGGGTCCTCATTTCTGTAATTCCCTCCTCAGCTACAAAACTGCCACATCTTTCTCCCACGGAGCGGCTGGTGGATTCAAATCACCAATCTTTCCGTTAGCAGCCCAGTGTTTAACTGCTGGTGGCCCATGAAAGTAATTACTATCACTGAGTTGTGTATATAAAAAATGCTGACATGGTTTATCAGATAGATACTGACCATAATTTTTTTAATTTATATTTTTTATATTAAGAATCTTTTGTTAGATTATCTAATTATAATGGCACATTTTTAATTAATTACTAGACTCATGCAACTGAAATAAAGTTCATATTAAGTGACATGTGTATAGCTATATTCAGATATGTATTATTTAACAGTTTCAACTGTCAAATATATCACATCACACTACTTGCTATATTATACTTTGGGTACTTTGGCTTTCAGGAGAAAAAAGTTATTTTCTTGAGGGTTACAGAAAATTTACTACAGTCAAATATATAAATGACTGTAAAGTTGTTGTTTGGGAAGTACTAATGCCTAAGGCACTTGACTGCTAACCAGAAGGCTGGCGGTTCAAACCCACCAGCCACTCCTCAGAAGGAAGGTTGGGCAATCCTACTTCTGTAGTGATACTGCCTCGGAAACCCAAGGAGGGGTTGCTATGAGTCGGGGCTGACTCAAAGGCACATAACAACAACAACAACAACACTGTGGATGCTGATAGATTTAGTGGTAGCATATCATCACGTGAACCTTTGGGGAGAAAAGCCGACTTGCCAACTTCTGATGCCTGAATTGAAATATCTCCTCTTCAGTATGGGCCACGGTACTTTTAAAAATGCTGACTAAGTACATCAGCTCTATTTCCTGATGATGCAAGCGGACAATTTCACCTCTAAGGTGACAGCAACCTCACCAGGCATTGAAGAAAACTCCTCTGGGCTCCAACTTCCAGTGCTCATTCAAGAACTGAAAGGCTCAATAAGAAACGTTTTTTTTCAAGCTTGTTCTGAATACTGATAGCCCCTGAAACTCTTCAATTATATAGCTCCTCAATATCTTATTGAAAAGGAAAAACTTAAGCAATTAACCATTCATGTGTCTCTTAAACAGCCAAATAATCATTTCACTACTTTTACAGTTTTATGGAAATGAAAGAACTAGTTAACTGGTTGCTGTTTCGTTTTGTTGTTATGAACGTAGCTTTAAATAATCCTGTTCTAATTCTCTTCTGGAGAGATGAGTTCATAAAATGCATCAAGTTACCTGAGTTCTTTCTCAGCTGATACAAAGGCCACCAAATTATTTCTATTACAAAATTACTGCAGAAACTTGATTTCACTACACAAGGAAACCCAAGGCGGGGCGGGGAGGGGCGGGGAAGGACAGAAAAGTCTGTTTCCAGCAAACGATAGTAAAATCTTAGATATTTTACTAAAGTATCAGGTACGTTCTGTACTCGATCTCTTTGTTATGATACTGGTTCACAATCTGATTGACAGGAAAACCAAACATCTCCTCCTGGCTGCATTTAATCAATAACGTATCTAGTGGAAGATCAAGGACAGGAGGACACAAACACAACTGCTAGAGATGTGACTGAGCACTTCCTACTGAGGGGGATCAACGCTTCTCCTTCTGGGATACTGTTCTGTGGAAGTCTGAAAAGAAGACTTTCATCAATAGCCTATGTTGAAATTTCTCTCCTCAAATCAATTCACACTTCGAACAGCTGCAGAAGTTTAATCAGATGCTTATATTTAGTGAAATGAGAAACCAATGATCATGGCTGCTGGGAGAAAGCTCCATAATTAATTGTTAGGCAGTCATTACTGTCTTCCACTAATGGAAAGGAAGTTCATAGGGTCTGGCCATTGATAACCCACAATCGAGATGAAACTATATTCCTACCAGCAGTTCATTTACATCAAATAAGGCAAAATACTACAGGACAGCTCACCTCTGTCCATCATGTTCAGAAATCAACTTCATCTGCACTAAGGCTGCCACTAGAACCTCACAGTGTGGAAACCCATGTTTCCATGCCTGATTCGATTTTTATATGCACATATTCACTGTGGTGCAACCCACCTTCCCTTCCCACAGGAAAAGGTGTCATTCCACACACTTACATGAAAGGACAGTCCAGAGTGAGGGGCACTGGGAGAATGCAGCATCCTTTCAAAGGCAATGGATTAAGGGACTAAAAATGCTTATGTGGTACTACAACAGATTAGGGAGACAATCCACTTTGGTAGAAAGGCTTCATGCAGCAGTTATGAGAGTCTGAGTCTGGGTTCTTAAAGTCTGGGTGCTTCTGACTAGTTACGCTTCCTTGAGCAAGTCACTTAATTTCTCAGGGCTTCTGTTTGTCATCTGCAAAATCTAGTGGCTGGATTAAATGATCACTGAAGTCTTCCCTCAAGTTTTAATGCCATCAGTTTAAGTCAGTTGGTCTCACAAGTTTTTCTGATTCAAATCAAATAAAATTTTGTGACAGTATATCCCCCAAAATATACAGACTTGTTTATATTTGTAAATTATACACATACTTGAGAGTATTAATGTTACATGTATTAAAATATACCTAAAATAGTTCAAAAGGATGAGAGAAAGATGAAATACACAATATTTTAAGGATAATTTACTATATTTACCAACAATATAATAACTTTGGTGAGAGCAGAAGGATTTACTATGCTTCATCCTTTTTTAAGCTGCTGGTATAAAAGCTCATGATAAAGTGATCTGAAGGTAATTCTAAGGACACGTATTCTTTCAACGCTTAGTTTTGGAGGCTGACATAAACAAACGTAAAAACACATTATCTAGATATGGGGACCTAGATAGAAGAAATATATCACTGAGTTTACAAAGACACATTTTTTTTCAATTCCATCAGCTATTAATACTAGTAGTTCAAGTTTTTGTTGAAATTAAACTAATAATTTTCCCATAACAGGTGCTAATTACTTAATAGTCAGGCAAAAAATTAAAACCCAAATATATCAGTAATAAAACTCACTGCCGTAGAGTTGGATCCAACTCATAATGACCCCTCCTTGGGTTTCCGAGGCAGTATCACTACGGAAGTAGATCGCCCAATCTTCCTTCTGAGGAGTAGCTGGTGAATTTGAACTGCCAGCCTTCTGGTTAGCAGTCAAGTGCCTTAGGCATTATGCCACCAGAGCTCCCATATCAGTAATAGGATTCGATATAAAAGGACTCAATAGTAAAACTAAGAGACAAAGATTTTCAGACTTAAAAACCCAACAACCAGGTGACACACAAATGTCAAGTATGAAGTCACAGGAAAGTTGAAAGTAAAGGAATGGATGGAGCATGCCATGCACACGCTTATCTGAAGGAGCCCCTCTGCTGTACAGACACCAGAGCAAGCAGACCTTAACACAAGAAACCTTACTAGAGACAAGAAGGGACAGTCCATATGATAAAACGGTTAATTCAACAGGAAGTTATAATAATCATAAACGTGTATGCAAATATCATAGTCTCAAAATATATAAAACCAAAATTGGATAGTAGCATAAAGAGAAAAAACAAATCCATAATCATAATTGTAGATTTCAGCACCATCTCCGAATAACTGACAAAACAAGGAGACAAAAAACTTAGTAGAGATACAGATGGAACACATGACTGTTAACAAGCTCGACCTAATTGATATTTGTGGAATTGGTACCCTTTTCAAGTACACAGGGTGCACATACCAAATGGGAACATATTCTGGGCTATAAAGTACGTCTCAACTGATTTCAAAGCCTGAAATCATAGAATTTGTTTTCTGTCACTCGTAAAATTAAAATAGAAGCCAGCAACAGAAAGATAACTAGAACACTCCCAAATGTTTGAATATTAACACCATGTTTAACACATTGTTAAACACAGAGCAAAGAAGGAAAAAATGGAAATTCTAAAATATTTTTTATCAAGTGTTAATGAAAACATAACACATAAAAAAACATGTGGGAATGCACAATAGAGTGGTAACAGACTAAGTAGTTGAATAATAGAGTTTGGTGACATGGGTGAAAATTTCTCCCTTTTGCTTAATCTAATTGAAGTGAGGTTTCTCATGCTAGCCACTGGTGAGTTACGTCTAACACTAGGAAGTAAGACACACACGTTTGTGCCACTGGTTGTCATTATGTTGGGCAATGTGGAGTTAGGACACTTGACCACAGATCCAAAGGCAAGGCCCAGTGACTCTGAACTGAGACCAGGATGTCCTCTGTTGCTCTTTTCCTGGCTCTTCTCCTACCATGCCCTTCTGATGCAGAGAATCTGGGTCAATCATGATGAATGGGTAAAAAGGAAGTGAGAACAAAATGAGAAAAATCATGAAATAATAAATGGCAATGGTAAAATATTAATTTGAAAACCAACTTTGGAGACTTGCATAATGTATATGTAGTCTACATGACCATAAATTAAATATTTGCAAAAACAATGTGTAATTTTCATCACTACACAGTGCATGGCCCTTAAAACGTTAGTGGTGACAGATACTGTCTTATACTTACATAGAAAGTCACGTAAGCTATCTACATGTTCTAAGGCTTAAAGTAACAAGCTCTTCTAGAGTAATGGGGACACGCAAGGGCTTTCAGAACAGGGGGTTACATGTGATAATGTTAAACGACTGCAGCAATAAATCAAATGGAATGTCCACGGGGTATGAAGTTACCTTCAAGTCTCCATTGACCCATGCATTGCCTCAATCTACCATGTGGCTCCTAGGTTCAAGTTCCTCGGTACTCTCTAGTCTTTCAAGAGTTGGAGAAACTAGTTAGATCGGGTTGATAGGCCTGACTCAACACCATTTCTACTGGAGGCATTTATTCTTTGGTTCTTTGCCTTGTGGTTCTTAACTTACTCTAATGCAATCAAAATAACTATTTCCTACTTTACTTCATATTTCCCCTCTGACCTCTCTTAACATACAGAATGTTTAACAGAGTTAATAAGGCATACCTGTATCATAACACACAATAAGTCTTTCACTGTGATTGCCCACAGTTTGTGGCTCAAACTCTACTTCCAGTTGCATGGTCTCTCCCACGTGAAGAGTTCCGACAGATGGCTCCACAGAGAAAGGCCTGCAACACACATGGAGACACAACTATCACGTTCCATTTTTGCCTAGAGTACAGTGGAGCCGAGAGGAGATGCATGTGCTAGGACAAGAGACAGGTCAAACCCAACACTGCAGTTTAGTGGTCCAGAAGGGAAGTATGCTTTCCTCCCTAAAGTGAAAAAAAAAGAAAACTTTAGCTTTAATGTTAAAGTAACAGTAATAGGTCATCAAGTGTGAGAGCAAATTAAATGATGCAATAAATAATATCCTTGTCGGTGTCTTTGCCATTGGTGTTCACTCCACATTTACTGAGTGTTCCTGCTGGGACCAGATCTCTGTTGGATGATGGCAAATGACTAAAACCCAGCCCTTGACCTCAAGACAGTGAGATTCCAGGAAAAGGCAAGATCTAAAACAGGTATGCAAATGCTGTCATACAAGGGCAAAAGAACAGTACCTGCAAAAGAGTAACATTAAGTTTTGTGAGAGTTCAGAGAAGGATTCATCAAGAAAAAAATCTCAAAAGGAAAGAGATGCACACTCACATCAGACTAATTCAAGACGATTTAACAAAGGGTCTATTTGAAAGGGGTGGATGTGGACAGGCACCGCATGGGATGATGTTCAGGGTTAGTAACAGCAGAGCCCAAAGAATCACGGGAAAGGGGTGAATGTGAAACCCAGAATGAGAGAGTCCTGAGAGAAGGCTGCTTCATGCGAAGCAAGGGGCTTTTACCAACGGGGACAGCCAGCCCGGTACCTCACGGGGAAAGGGTGTCCTGACCTCACATCCTTTTTCCCTCTGACTGCCTGCTAGGGCGCCCACTGGCTGAATCCAAACAGAACCCAGAACACATGGCAGCCTGCTGACCTGAGCCATACAGGTCAGCCTCCTGGGCAACAGGCTGGAGAAGGGTGGAGGGTGCTTTTGGAAAAGCAAACTGGTGATAAGCGCTATATCTTTAAAGTGGAATGCGGGATGTGCACACCGTGAGGAGGAAGAGTAGGGTTTGGGAACAGGAATACTTTGGTTTTACTGTCACGGAAGGGAGTAGTGAAAGAGAAGCTGGAACTGATTATGAAGGGCCTTAAATAATTTATAGATTTCTTCCTTCTAAATAAGTTCTTCCCGTGAAATAAGAAAGCTAGCCCAGCTAATTATTTTCATGGTCCATTTCACTTCTTTAAATTGCTAGTTTTTCAGAGTGACATATTGTACAGTCTTTTTGGCAGGCAAAGCTGTTTCTGGTTATTTGTTTCTAACACAACAGTTTCTAGATTCTTTATTCCTTAAGTCTTCCCTAAGATAATGAAGTTAGGTTCAGACCGTCTGCTGTGAGGGTGAGGAGCTGCACTGGAGCAGCACGGGGTGGCCCCAGTGGGCAGTCATTTTGTTTCTCTCTGGTGCACTCTCCTTTGGCCTTCCTCTCCCTTCACGTCTCTATCCCGTTTTCTTTTCCGTCTCTCTGGCATATGAGTGAACCCCCCGGGCAATGCTGTAGAGCCACTCTGAAGCAACGGTTACCAGTCTAGACTCCGAGCCAAATGAGTAAGTTCAAAACCCAGCTCTGCCACGACCTTGGACAGGTTACTTGGCCTTCCAGTTTCTTCATCAGCAAAATGAGAGTAAGGACAGCACCTGCTTCATAGGTTGTAGGGAGAATGAAAGGTGATACAGGTAAAATGCTTAGACTAATACCTGGCACACAGGGAGTGCTACACAAAGTTTACTCTTTTTTTTTTCTGGCATTGCTATTGTTCTCTCTGTCACCGGCAGCCCCTAGATCGGGGAGGATGTGCCTAAGGAGGTACTGCGTGCTTAGATGAATTCAGGCTTTTATCATTCTCCCTTCAATACTTCACACTATTCGAGATACACTGGTGCTTTCATTCAAACACCTTCAGAGGCCACATTCTGAGTTAGTGCTGGGGGGAGTGCAATGAGGGGGCGCGTCAGTCCCTTGACCCAGGGTCTCCCTCCGCACTGCCCCTCTCCTCCCTTCCAAGCAGCTTGTGCCCTCCTACATGTTCCAGAACCTGTAGGGTCACACTGGACTCACCATTTCCAGACATCACAGTCCTTCCAAGGTTACCTATCACAGCCCAGACCCAAAGTCATCTATTTAACACAATCTTCCCTGATCCTCCCTCTTGTAAATAATGTCATTGTCCTCTCAGAGGTGATGGTTTTCTTTTTGCTTCTCACTTCCATTCACCTGGTAAACTGAAAAACCTAAAACTCCCTGCCGTTGAGTCAATTTCAACTCATGGCAACCCCTCTTTGGGTTTCGGAGGTGGTATCTCTACAGAAGTAGATTGCCCACTCTTTCTTCCGAGGACTGGCTGGTGGGTTTGAACCACCAACCTCTTGGTTAGTAGTCAAATGCCTTAGGCACTACGCCACCAGCGCTCCCCTGGTACTATAGTTAATTTTCATGACTCTTGAGAAGAAAGAAAAGGGAAAGGAAACAGCATTTCATGATCACGTACCTTCCACCAGATGCCACTCTGGGCACTTTCCATGTCAATTCCTTTAAACCTCGACCAGCTCTTAGAGAGCAGGTATTGTTATTTGCCTTTAAAACATGCTCTACAAGGACAGTCAGCTTGTGCAAAGTTACCCAACTAGGTAATGAGAGCTGGGATGGAAGCCTGCCTTCAAGTTCATGTTCTTTCTGCCTGCCCTGAACATGGAAGCCATATGGTTGAATTCAACTTTATGCCTTTCTCACACACCCCCAGTGAGTGTTCTTTACCCACTGGCGTTTCTAAGAGGTTGTTGAACTGAATTACAGTTTCCAAGGCTATAAATCTTCACAGAAACTGACTGCCACATCTTTCGCCCATGAATTCGTAAAGGGAAATTAAAAATATCCACAATCATCAATTAATTTGTGTAACATCCAGGAAGAACAGCAGGCAGTGGGGGTTCAATGGTAGAATTCTTGCCTTTGATGCAGGAGACCCCAGGTTCAATGCCTGGCCAATGCACCTGGAGCACTGCCACCACGTGTGCAGGGAAAGTCTGCATGCTGCCACGATGCTGCACAGGCTGCAGTGGGCCTTCCACACCACGAGGGAGGAGGAAGAGAGGCCTGGTGCTTGGCTTCTGGAAATCAGCCCACAGACCACATGTGGTCACTGCCCTAGGGATGGTCACAGTGCGATCCCTTCATGCACAGAGTTGCTACAAGTCAGGATCACATGTGGTCACTGCCCAGGGATTGTCACAGTGCGATCCCTTAGTGCACGGAGTTGTGACGAGTCAAGTGCTGACTCAATGGCATCTAACAACAACAACAGGTGGAAGAGAAAAGGAGCCAACTAGTATGTCAAGACTCCACTTCACGGAAGATGAGAGTGCATGTCACAGTCTTAAGGTCCTCTCCTTCCTTATGGCCTCAGTAAAGGAGTTGAGAAACTGGGCCCACTTTCCTGGCTTTGGGATTAACACTGTAGTATTTCATCCATTTTTGCCTCTCTCCTTCCTAATATTTTTCTTCCTGCACTGTGCTTTCATTTTCTTTTCAAACATTTCTTGGTACCAAAGGAACACTTTTGTAGTAAATGGGATGTTATCATATCACAGAAACTAAACTGATTTTCTGCAGAGAAGGTGACACGACCATCCCATCTCTAGGACCCCCAAATCCCTCAAAGGGTAACAGATCCTTTCCCTTCGGGTTAACTGTTGGGTTCAGGTTACACTAAACGCTTCAGTAACTGGAAAAACACCTGGGATAGGCAGGGCCATTTAGAGCCGCCTAAGCTTTCTCAATAAATCAGACGTTAATTGGGCAGGCTGTACTAAGTTCTGGTACTTAAACATTGTCTATAATTTGATTTTGTGCTTTGTTTTACTAAAGGCAGGCAGGCTGAACAAGCTAGAAAATATGAAGTACCAGAAACTGAACTTACAAAGAGGTCAACAGTATTGTTCCTCAAGGGTATAAGGCTGGCTCTCTCTACAAAAAAATATTTGATTTTGGTATCATATCCTCATTAGGACCAAACATTTTATTAGGGAGAGAATTCAGTTTTGTGAAAAATCATGAACCACAAGAAAAAAACATAAATAGCTCATCAGGACTAAAGCTTTTCAGTCCAAATGATTCAATATTGCAGTAGATGATGAAATACTGATTATCCCTTTCATGACTGAATTCCTTTGTGTTTGTTAGATTTTATAGATGACAGGGTTTTTGGAAAGGGAATATAAGTTGAATCATTGGGTGGTTTTAAATTCTTGTGAGGTATGATGAATTTTGATGTGGGACACAAATGTTCCACTGGACTCTGGTGATAGGGTAGGCAGGATGAGGCATAGAAAGAAATCATTGTAGCTTATCACTCTTATTTTATGGTGGGAAACTGGAAAACATGGGGTAACCCATAAAGGCACCCTGCAATGGTGATACGTAGTTGTTCAAGTCTTCTTCTTCTTAGTGCTACGTTCTCTGCGTCACCTTCTGGATCCCTTGACAGCAAATGCTTTCCAACTTGTCATAGCTGACGTCACTTGGCACCCCACTGTCTTCTGGCTTGTTCTTGACAAGAAAGGAAGGTCTTCTTTTTCTTTTGATATCCCAGCTCACTGTAAGCTGCCTAATGAGAGCAAAACTGAAGGGCAGTTAGTTGCATCTGCCCTCCTGTGACAGTTCCATATTGTAAAACTATTTATAATGGCAAGGTCAAGAAGGAAATACAGCCATTGATGACACCATCTGACAGAGAGCCTTCTGGCTACACAGCTTTCCTGCCTCCGGTCACAGCACTCCACTCCTCTCGTAATTGCATTGTATTCTGCAACTGCTCTTGGGCAAGAGATTACTGGTGAGGAGCCATCATTGTTCTTTCCATGCTCATTATATCCTTTAGACTGTGGAATGCTGACAAAACTGTGACAGGTTTACTGTCCTGACACTTGACTATCAACACACATCCTTTCATACGAAACAGTAATTTCTCCTGCCTCTTCATCATTTCCGGTAGCATCTTTCTACTGGCTTACACTGTGCCCAC